CACACACACATATAGAGAGAGATATGGTAGGGGAGCAGTAGCTAGTTCTGGTCTAGGGTTTCTTTCTTGGATTGGGTGAAATCGATCTCTTGCTGTCCACACAAGCCTCTACCCTAACCTATATCTCTTGAGGGGTGATAGGAGTACAAGGAGTTGGGTCTGGTAGCTTCCTTGGTTGGCAAGTGGGCGTCGGCGTTGTCTCCTTTGTGGTGCTAGCCGATAGTGCTGGACCGATCCCTGATGTTGCTTGCAAATGTCTAGAGCCGATCGTATAGGCGTTGTGTCTCCCCTGGGTCTGCTCTTCTCTTGGTGTCCGCTTGCCAACGAATGAGAAACCTCCTTTGTGGTCCTAGCCGATAGTGCTGGACCCATCCCTGATGTTGCTTGCAGAGGTCTGGAGCCGATCATCAGAGCCTAGAGATGTCGTTGTGTCTCCCCCGGGTCTGCTCTTCTGTTGGTGTCCATCTCTTGCCAATGAAGGAGAAGCCCCCCTAGGAGAGACTAACACAATGCCCACCCCACACCCTCATCTCTTCCTTGAGGCAAAGTGACTGCACATTCCCCCTATCGCGTTGCGTCACGCCCCAGGCCTGACCCCTTGCTAGGAGTGGTTGAGACAAAGCCTCACGAGAGCAAGGGGACAACGCTCTGCTAGGTCCATGGGTGCTGCAACTCTGTTCGTGTCTCAGTCTCCTGATGCTTGTCAGAAGATTCCTAGCATCGTCGCATATGCTGAGAGTTGGTCAGGACAATTGGATGTGGGCCTGTTGCCGTAGAACCACCTTCAGTTAGTCATGGGCATCGGCGCTGACACTTTAGGGAGGCTTGCGTCGAGCTCCTAGGGAGCCTAGATTCCTAGGCGAGAGTCGTGTTGCTGGTTCAGCCAAAGGCGCCTTTTGTGAATGACGAGACTGCCCATCGCCCGGGTTATCTTGAGCCCTGCGAGCATTTCTCGATATCCAGTGGGGGCACATGCGCGCACCAGTTGGGTGTTGCCCGTGAGCCCTGGGCCGATTAGGAAAGTCGGTCAGGAGTTAATTGTACTGTCATGATGCTAACCCAAAGATTTAGGTAACCCCAGTGTTATGTATTCATCAAATGGCGTTAATGAATGGTTGCAAACCAACAATTTGTAAATGCGTTAAGCAAAGGGAGGAAACCAACAATTTATAAGTTTGTTAAATGGAATCGGACAATTTGCAAAGAAAAATTGTACAAATGGACAAGCAAGATAGTCTTTGTCATAACAGGGTGAAACGACAAACTACAAATTTGTTAAGCAATATATGTGAACCAACAATCTACACAAGTTCTAAAAATGGAAACCTTCAATCTACCGCAAGGCGTCAAAGAATAGGTGCAAACCGACAATCTACCATGTCGTTAATAAATGGTTGCAAACTGTAAAGGAAAAAGTCTACTTAACCCCCTCAAATATTGGTGGTTGTCTATTTCACCCCTTCACCTATAAAACCAGGTATTCTATCCCTCAAACTATTGAAAACCGTCTAAATAACCCCTTGAAGCGGTTTTGAAGGAGGTTTTGATGACGTGACATATTAAAAAGTCTATATAACCCCATAACTTATCAAGGGTTGATTGCATGACCCCTCAACTATAAAATATGATATTATAGCCCATAAAGCATCTAATAATATTGTCCAAATGATGGTCATGTATGGTCGTTTGGACACTGTATCCCACCGCACTGTCCTAAGCACACATGCTTGCACATAGGCCCATCGACTGCCTCCCCCTCGATGACATTGAGCACATGCAAGAAATAATGTACAAATGAACAAGCAAGATAGTATTTGTTGTAAGAGGGTGAAACGACAAATTGCAAATTTGTTAACCAATGTATGTGAACTGACTATCGACAAGTTATCAAATGGAAACCGACAATCTACCACAAGTCTTTAATGTATGGGTGCAAACCGACAATCTACCATGGCGTTAATAAATGGTTGCAAACCCACAATCTATAAATGTGTTAAGCCAAGGGCGAAAACCGACAAGCTACAAGTTCGTTAAATGGAATCAGACAATTTGCAAATAAAAAATGTACAAATGGACTAGCAAGATAGCCTTTGTCATAAGAGGGTGAAACGACAAGCTGCGAATTTGTTAAGCAATATATCTGAACCGGCAATCTACAAGTTCTCAATATGGAAACTGACAATCTACCACAAGGCGTTAATGAATTGGTGCAAACCAATAATTTACTATGGCGTTAATAAACTGATGCAAATCGACAATCTGTAAATGCATGAAGCCAAGGGTGAAACCGACAATCTACAAGTCCGTTAAATCGAATCTGACATTTTACAACTATTTTAACTAACTCGTGCATGGACTAACAATCATCTATAGGTTCATTAATTATGCAGCGGGTGTAAATCAATAAACTTTTTTATGACCCAATTCAAAGAACTGTTGATTATTTATATTAAAAAAGAAAAAGCTCAGGCTTTACAATACAATGAGTAAGCGACGACAACAACTTCTAAGGGGTCGAGCAACTACAATAACTAAAACAAAGAAACTAACAATCGACAAACTACAATTTATAAAGAAAAGACTCAACAATGTACAACTTCATTAAGCAGCGTCGTTCAAATCAAAAAATCATCTAATATGAGTACACAAACACAAACGTCTGTGGTGCCATTTATATAGCAAACTTCAATATAGAAACCCCCCAAATCTTCTAATAATATTCCTCTAGAAACCTACTCTAACTGTCCAACAAGATTGTAGTAACTCGTTGGCATGTACCACACTGTTCTCAATTATAAGCCATTTTGGCATTTTTAGATACATAGTTTTTACTTTGTATCTGGACACAATATATATATATCTGGTGCGTAGCAAAACTATAAATCTAGAAAAGCCGAAACGTTCTATAATTTGGAAGGGTGGGAGCATCAATTGTCCTTTGTATAACAGAAAGAAGAGACGAGGCTGGTTTGGGGAGATGAGTGTGGTGGCCTAGATGGTTAAGATGGTGATGACGCCCGGACGCGCACCTGGTGGACGTGGACTACATCCTGCCAAGGGGCTAGCTAAGCAAGCTTAACGTACGTACGCTGGAACACAGCCATGCATGAAAGCTGGAACAGTGAATGATTGTGCACTCCACCACGCACTCCACTACGTTTGACCGCTAGCGTCATCGAAGTATTTTGCATTTTTTTTTTTTTTTTAGATAGAGTTCGAGGGCAGATCGCCACGGTCTTCCATTATCATAAAAGACCATAACATCATTCAGTTACAGCACAGAGTTTTTAAAAGAGACCAAACCCAGCACACGCCAGTAACCAGCTGGCTCTTATTTGTAGCAATGGTTATCTTTTCGCAACGGAAAAGATTCCTTTTCAGTTATTTAATATAATAGCAAAATGGCACGTAGTTCTGCTATGGAGTTGAAAGAAAAACAAATAAAAAGATGCTTTATAACTCTATAGAAACCCCACCTCCAATCAATCCTCCATCACCTCAAAACCCATAGTAGGCAGATATAGAAGTGAGCTGTAGGCGTAATAATCACAACAGTATAAGCTAATAAGGAGGAAGGAGGCCTAGCTAGAAGAGATGTGCAGGAGGATCGGATCATCTATCCCGTCGAATATAATGTAATCATTGGTTCCATGCATGTTTAATTTCCTAATCATGCTGAATATAATAACTAGATGTGTATGTTGAGGCGTGCTGTGAGTCGGAGCTGCGCACGCGCATGCAGTAAAGTAATGTTCGTCGTCGGTTGTACTGCGGCTGTTTACTTTGCATGGAATTAATTGATTATTTTTTTGTTAGCCTCGGTAACCCCGCGCGCTGCTGGAAATTGCTTCAGTTCTAGAGACCTGTGGTGGGTATGTACATATACACCACACATACAGTATGCAATGTGTGTGTTGACACTCGACTGGTTGCAAACCTGCACCTCATGAACTTTGAGATCGATGAATTACCCTGTGTTCTTCCACCGTGCAGTGTTAGCTAGGCCGGGGTTGTAATTAAGATTGGATTGTCTTTTTGTTCACGATGAGGGGCGTCCTCGCTCATTCCAGCTAGTCCAGCTGGTTTCAACTTCAACGGCCTGGAGTATTCAGTAACGTAACCCATCACGCCAAGATTGTGTTAAACCTGATACTACTTGTGGCGCCGTGCGTGGAGCTGGAGCCACAGTTAGTCAGTGCACTGACCGCGCGGACGAAATTTAAACACGGTCAAGGTGATGATGACTCGAGGATGATACAGCACTGTTCTACAGTACACGCTAGCTACAACTATACGACGACTCCAGCAAGACGTGAGTTTCCCTGGTAAGGCAAGCAAGAGCTGTTATCACTGCACACTGCACTGCGGGGACGAATGAGGACAACACACGCACTTGAAGTTGAAGAGAAACATATCGAAACAACCGTCTCACGAGTACATTAATCCGCGCCGCGACAAGGACAAGTCAGTTTTACTGTCCGCGGATAACGACACCGAATTGATCGCTCGCATTGCATGATATACGCTCTACCAGAAACGCAATGTCACTGTTAGCTAGCTATAGCTCATACACGACGTCAGATCACCAGCTAGTGCTGCATTCTGTTCATTGTTCGAAAACACAAATATGATTCACTAGCAAATGCAACGATGAACAATCAATGATCGATACAAATACAAACCTAGACCTAGACCTCCTCATCTCCTCAATGGCATTGCCAAAGGCTTACCGCGAGGCGAGAAACACAACTAAATCGAATTATATTGCCCCACAGCAAAAGGGGTGACTAAAACGCTGCTACAAGCAGAAAATCTCACTAAAAGACAACATCCATCAACTACCTGCACCACTCACTACCTGAAGCAACAAAGTAACTAGCTAGCTAGTCCCGATCATCGAAAGCTAAACGAAATTCCTCTGTCAAAGCGAAGCACAGCTAGGAGTGCAAAATGGCGTCCGCGCCATCCAAGTCGTCGTCGTCGTCTCCACTCTCCAGTCATCAGTCCTGGAACCCGGTGGTCCGCTTCCACACCGCGTCCCGGACCTTGAGCGTCCTGCCGACGACCCCGTTCATCGACAGCGACAGCGACGCGGCGCGGCGCCGCCCCGCCAGCTCGTGGGGCGGCACCAGGTCCACGGAATCCTCGTCGTCGTCGAGCTCCCAGTCCCCAGCGCCGCCGCCGTAGTGGTAGCCAGGACGGTACGCGTGGCCCAGGATCTTGGACCAGTCCGGGATCTTCACCGGCAGAGACCCGTGCGCGGCCCTGCCATCCGGCGCCGGCGCCTTCTGCGTGGCCAGAAACGGGCGCGCCCTCGCCGGCTCGGCAGGCGCGGCGCTCGGGGCGAACGCGCCCCAGATGTCCGACTCGTCGAACTCCTCGCCCGCGGCAGCCGGGCCCGTCGGCACGACGACGCCGTGCGGCGCCTGCGCGAAGTGGAGGTACGCGCGCGAAGTGGGTCTCGCCATTGTGCCTACTACCACCACGTCTACCGTCGACTTCGGGGGAGGGATGGTAGGACCAGGGAGGAAAAAGAAGCGCAAGCGAGCGTGTGGAGGGAGGGAAATGAGCGCGTGCGCCTGTGGTTTGGTTCGTGGATTTATACGCGCTGGAGGGCCGAGAGCGGAAAGCGGGTGGAAACGGATAGGGTCGTTTATGCAATGACGGATTCGCCCTCGGATCAACAACGTTAATGTATGGGTGCAAATCGACAATCTACCATGGCATTAATAAATGGTTGCAGACCCACGATCTATAAATGTGTTAAGCCAAGGGCGAAAACTCGTCAATATACAAGTTCGTTAAATAGAATCCGACAATTTGAAAATAAAAAATATACAAATGGTCAAGCAAGATAGTATTTATCATAAGAGGGTGAAACGACAAACTGCAAATTTGTTAAGCAATATGTGAACCGGCAATCTACAAGTTCTCAAAATGGAAACCGACAATCTACTGCAAGGCGTTAATGAATGGGTGCAAACCGACAATCTCCCATGGCGTTAATAAACGATTGCAAAGAGACAATATGTAAATGTGTAGCCAATACAAACAAAAACCAACAAACTACAAATTCGGTAAATGGAATCTACCAACTTGTCCGTGGACTAACAATAATCAGCAGATTCATTATGAAGCAGATATAGCTTCAAGACGACGCTACTGGGGGGTCCGACCCTTCCTAACCCTAGCCCGCTCCCTGGCGGCGCCCCAGCCACCGCTGTCGCCGCCCCGGCGCCGGCAACCGCCCCTCCTCTCCTCGGCCGCTCGGGCCCCAACCATCGTACGCCGCCCCCCAACGTCCGCCGTCGTCGGCCGACCATCCCGGCGCTGGCAGCCCCCTCCACCTCCCCTGCCCTCGTGGATCCAGCCTCCCCAACCCTCGACTCCACAGGATCCATGGCGCCCGGCTCCCCCTCACCGCCGCCACCACCACCGCCCTAGCTCCCGGCAGCCGGTTCCACGGCCGTAGGCGATGGCGCACCCACCGTGAGCCCATGATGCATGGAGATGGGAAGATCCGCCAGATCCAGCGCTGCCACCTCCTCCACGCCGCCACCATCGCCATCCGCCGCCCCGGCATAGGCGGCCCCCTCCTCCACCACTCCTCTTGGTTGCTCTAGGTCGCAATCCATCAAGGGGAACCCAATGCGTGGCGAAATCAGCCCAGCATGGCAGGTTGCCTCGAGTTACTCCGCCTTGAGCGCGTCGTCCACGCTCTCTCCCTTCGCCAAACCCTACAACCCAGTTGGCAGCACGGTGGGCGCCCCAAGGTGAAAGGTTTTTGTTTGGTTTTGGTAATTGAGTGACAATCTTAGGTGGACTAATATATGTTTGAGTGAGATACACAGGTGATTAGTCCACAAGTACATCATGTGTGAGCAACTCATGCCATAGAGGTGAAGATGGCTTGGATTTGTTGCAAGGCTCACACATATGATGAAGGATCTTATTGCATATGAGACATGACATTGAGTCATGTGACTAAGGTGGAGAAGATCAAGACAAGACAAGGCTTGATGGACCGGTTGCAAGTGTGAAGGGCAAGTTGGAGGCTTGGGAGCGATGGACCGCGTGGCGGTGAAGCTTGAGCAAGACTTGGCGCTGAAGGACGAAGGCAACGGTAAAAATCAAGTGAGGTCAAGATCGATGAACCAACAAGGTCACATGATGATATGAAGTGGATCATATCATTTGTTGATCAAAGTTGGTGCATGTGTTGCATCAACATTGGAGGAGATGGAATGGAATGCGCAAGGCAAAGGTACAACCTATAGGGCATTTCATTTCATCGGTCATAGGTGTATAGAGAAGTTTATGACCAGGTTTAGGATAGATGGTCGTACTATCAAGAGGGGCAAACTTGTTTGTATATTGGTCATCTAGTGCCACTCGAGTGATCTAACATTGCATCATTGCTAGGATCGAGTGGCGTGGTGAATTGAGTGACTAATCCTTTAGGAAATGTTTGTGAAAAGCTAACACGCGTGTACAAGTTGGTGAACACTTGGTGGTGTTGGCACATTTGTAAAGGTGAAGAAGTTGGTGAAGAAGAGGAGGCGAAACCGGGCTTGGGGTGTTGCCTGGGTGGCACCGCCACCCCTGTCTGGTGACCAATGGCTAGTTGGAATTTGACCATTGGGAGGGGCACCACCGTGTCCGGTGCTAGGCACAGCCATGTCCGGTGCCCTCGCAGAAAGCAGCAGCTTTGCTCCAATGACTCTATTTGGCTTGGGGGCTATAAATAGAGGTGGAACTCAGCCATGGGCTGGTTACTGAGCACCCTTAAGCCTTGGTGGCTTATGTAGGTGTGCTTGGGAGCCCTCTAACTCACATACGCTTGATAGTGATTATCCGGTTGAGTGTGAGTGCGATTCTAGTGTGATTGCATTGTGAGAGTGCATCGAGTGGCACTAGGTGATCGAGTTGCAAGCCAGTGGTGCTTGTTACTCTTGGAGGTTGCCACCTCCTAGATGGCTTGGTGGCTTGTGACTCCGTTGAAGCAAACGAGAAGATTGTGCGGTGCTCTAGAGGAGGATATGTGAGGGGATTGTGTTCACCCTGTGGGGATCACGAAGAGCAACTCTAGTAGAGCGTGTCATTGAGCTACTGTGGGCATATAACCCCCGATATCCATAGAGCTGCACATGGGTCGAGCCACTAGGGAAGGCCTAGTCCACGAGACCACATAGGGGCCGCGCCGCCAGTTAAGGCCCAGCGTGCAAGACGATGCCGCGTGAAGTACAGGCGTAAATCAGCGTGCCTCGCAAGACTGCGTGAAGATCCTCGGAGATCTAGGAAATCTGCTCGGATATGCTAGATTATTGTGATATCTGTAACTTCCTATCCTGTAAACCGATCAGGATAGAAACAACCGATCTGTAACCCTTACCCACAGGCTATATAAGGCGGGTAGGGACCCCTCATTTTCATTAGAACACACGCAATACAATCCACAAAGACATATGATGTAGGGTATTACGTCAAGCCGATGGCCCAAACCTGTCTAATCACTGTCTCTCGCGTTTGTGTCACCATCCGGTTCCCTTACGCGCACCTCCATCGATTCATCTACTACCGTGGACATACCCTCGGTAGACTGTTGTCTAGATTTCATCGATAGCGGCGCGCCAAGTAGGGGTGTGTGTGCTGAATTCATGGCCAACCAGATGGCTACCTTTCCGAGCTCCATGGCCCTTCCCGAGCCAGGCTAGATCTTCACGATTGGATCCATGACTTGGGTCATCGGCCCTGACAGCAATGAGAGGATCTTGGAGGTGGCACAGGATCACCCTACACCGACTGCACCGACACCTACAATGACATCTCCGATCCCGGTGCCCCGCTGCTAGGTTAGGAGATCTATTAGCAGTGACGATCTGATCGCATCCATCGATCGGGTCACTGATCACCTAGCAGAATGTTAGCTCCTCGTGGATTCGGTCCTAGAGCAATCTAGAGCGGGTGATGATTTTCCTACACTCTAAGATCACCAAGCCGCTTGACCGAGCGACCTGCTCGACCACATAATTTGAGGTGAACAGATTCCGATCTGGTGATCACGACTACTCCAGAGGGGCACATGGCGCGGCGCCGACCACTTCCCGCTACTGGCTTGTGCTTGGCCAACTACGAGGCCCTGACGGAGAACCTACCGAGGCCCTATCCTTTTGGGCTGGAGGGTATATGATCTATGTACCATAAGGCCATCCACCAAATCTTCGTCGACCACGTTGAGCGTGACCACACCACCGATCTCTACATGATCGACCCAACTGACTCCTGTCAGCCTACGCCTATGGTCAACATAGTGGCTATTCGCCAGCTTTCGTGTGATTTAGATCTTCCGACTGAGTCTCTCCACAACATTCTGAATGATACCCCCAATGATTATTCCGAGGGCTCAACCTAGATCATGTCGAGCTGCCCTACTTTCCTTCTAGGGTTCAGGGCATGATTTTCCACGTCAGCCACGACAGCGTCACCAAGGATGGTGAAACCGCTGAAGAGCGCGAAGCTCATCTAGCGAAGAACACCGATCGCCAACGTCGCCAGGATGTAGAAGTAGCCCAAGCGGTGATGAGGATGGTCGTGGACCGCCCCACCATCAATGTAATCTAGAAGAAGCGTTCGACATGGTGTGTGAGCAGCTAGTCTACCAGCCCGAGCGCCAATCTAGCCGTTGCATTCAACGAGCTCGACAAACTCCCTCACACTCAAGAGGTCGAGAAGGTTCGAGCACATAACATAGCTGCGCAAGTCTAAGTCAACGAAGTTCCAAAATGATGCCCCGTCTTACTCCACCGCATCAGCTCGTAGTCGCCGCTCTCGCCGTGACTGGAGGAGGCCAGCAACACAGTGCCGATGGCCCCCACCTGTGGCTAGAGGTCCCTACCTTTATAGGAGATCCAGAGGCAACTATGAAGCTCATTCACGCCATGATGACCGCCCACCATGCCATGAGAGAGGTCGGGGTGGCAACCGTAATCAGGAGGTCAATCAACCCCTCTCCCGCGACCTTCGCGACCACATCAACGCCAGCGTAGATGTCCACGGCCGCATCGAAAAAATAGTAGGTCCGCACGCTATGAAGCAGAGATGGAACATCGCCGGCAATTCGAGGCCGAACATGAGGGATTTGTTGCCCATCAATTACCACTTCCTACCGACGCGCATCAGGACTTCGCCCCTTCACCCAAAGGCTCCGAGCCATCCGGTGGCCTATTGGTTTCAAGGTCATTAGTGTTAACACCTATGATGGAAAGGCCAACCCCGCTCAGTGGCTAATTCTATGTGAGATTGCTGTGAAAGCTGCGGGCAGAGATGAAGACATCATGGCGAACAATCTTCTTGTCATGCTTAATTAGTTTGCAAACAACTGGTTCCTTAACCTATGGGAGAACTCCATCCTATCTTGGGATGACCTCAAGAAAGTCTTCACCGACAATTACATGGCCACGTGAGAGCA